CTGCTGCCCTGCGCGGGCACAGCTTGAATCACTAGGAAACATTCCTCCCTGCTTTTTAGTTTCCAGGAAGCACCAGTCTTCCATGCTGGCAGTACCTCTACATCCCATGCTGAAAGAAACAGACCCACTGCTAATTATGCAGATATACCATTGTGCAGCTTTTTCAAATAGGAACAGATGGGGAGGAGTTCCCCTCTCCACACACTTTTCCTTTGGCATCTTCTGAATGTTCTCATTAAGACACTAAGCTTGAGGAGTGATATTTTATTAGTTACTCACTGTTGGTTTTCCCCTCAACAATATGCTATGAAGTTATTAAGAGTAAGAGGGAGAAAGACAGACCATTGAGTTTTGTGTTCTGGGCCAGACAGTAACAGCTATATTTTAAGACCATTTGACCTCACCTAAACAAATAAATCTGCTTCCTCCTTCCACCTTCCCGTCTGCATGAAGCAACAGGAAGCTAGCATATTTTCATTATTTTGTATCTCAGCTGCAGTTTCAGAGTATAATACAGAAACTAGATCTTCAACCAAGATGTGGATCTATCCAGTACTTTCTTAAATTCAGTATCAGTTTATTTAGACAAAAATCATTGTACATTTGGTTCTTCATTACTTACTTGCCTCAGCTTCAGTCTGATGCAACTCTTAGTGAACTTTCACTGATTTAATGCAAAATTAAGAAATAAGGTGCTACTGATGGTGTGACTTCATGAACCCTCTACTTCAGTTTGCAAAGCTTTACAGATGTGCTAATGTGAGTGAGAAAACACTACATGACCTGACATAACTGATCAAGATGTAGATTAATTTCAGCGTCAAGTAGAGCAGGTAGAAGAAAAATCAAGGAGCGATAATACAGCTCACGAGAGAGCAAAATCAAATAAAAACATTATCCTAAGGGAGCTTGGGAGAGAGGGAGCAGAGAAGGACAAATAGACAGAGAGAAAGAGCAAAGAAAGAGGCCATGAAACATGGCAAGGAAACGTGGCTTGATCCAAGCAAAGACTGGAAGGCTCTGAGTTTTACTGAGGATATGGCAGCACACACACAGATGCTTTTCTGAGAGTTAAGGGAATATAAAAAGTTCCCAGGCATCACAGTGCAGGTAGTATTTCAACTGTCATCAAATCCTTGCTCCCCTCTCTCTTGTCACAGCAACATGGAAGTGAATTGCAAGATTGTAGTGAAGAGAGAGAGTGGAGATACATCATCTCCTATTTGCAGCTCATCAGCTAGACACTCTCACTCTGGTGCCAGGTTAGCCCCTTCCACAACATTTTGGCTTTTTTTTAAGGAGCTACAGAACCACACACTTCTCAGAGTTCATTGAATCAAAGCGGCTGCATGGGGCAAGAGCATGCTTGAAGATTTCTTTGGAAACATAACAAAAAGTTATGTCAGGTCATGTAGTGTTTTCTCACTCACATTAGCACACCTGTAAAGTTTTGCAAACTAAAGTAGAGGGTTCATGAAGTCACACCATCAGTAGCACCTTATTTCTTAATTTTGCATTTAAGGCCCAGATGCAGGCAGGCTGCTCTGTCAGGGTGGCTCTGGAGGAGAGGTTCTGGTACAAAGAGGAGACAGCTTGCTGAAGAGCCAGCCAGAGGACTCTGCCAGAAGTACGCGGTGCTCTCCCCAGTGCTGAGAGGCCAGCCAGCCCCAACCCTGGTCGGTTCTGTTAATGACCCCTGCTTCCTCAGAAACACAAATCCAATTAGACATATTTGCAAACCCTTCTCCAGGCAACTGCACATTATTTAATCCTACACATTAACCTACAGTTCTCAGTCAAATGCTCATGGGCACGAACAAGTGAGATCTGGAATAGCTTTTCTACTAGTCACCACTTGCCTGCAAGTGCCATTTGAATTAATATTTTTATAATTCACATTATAGCCGACCAGTATTTTTTGAAAAAAATTAGCTGCAGTTTACACAGTTTTCACATATCGGCAAATATCTCTGATTTCAGCAGTGTTATGTTGACAGACCTTGAACGCAATGCTAATAAACCTGACTGTACAGGACAGACAGCACTGTATCCAGAAGGAAACAAGAAATTTGGGTTCTGGGTATAATACATCTCTGTCAGTGTTTCACCTCTTCTTTTCCACTTTACATTATTCCTTGCTTTGAAGCATTCAGAATTTGTTTCAGAAGCAGTGTGTGTCATAAAAGGATTTAAGAAAAAAGTATTTTTGCACAGGATTCAACGAACAGCCAGGAGTTGTTGAACAGGGTTACTTTTCTACCTTTCCTACATTATCTTATTCTCCTCTTTCTACTCTGAAATATGCAGCAGTACAAGCTCTGAACGGGAGTACTCTGATAAAGCCCATTTTATAGTGGAGGAAAAGTTGAGATTTTTCTTCTTCTGTAATGTATTCCCACTGCCATAAAAATACAAGTACTTGAAATTCTGAGCATGTATTAAAACAAAGTAGTTCAGTACACTGTATTTCAGCACTTTGTAAGTATGATGCAAAGAAGCTTTCACTGCCAGCTAGAGGGTAGTTACAGTGATTCATATAATCTTAAACTGTATAAAGTTCCTTTGCAGGGGGACAAGTTCAGTCCACCATTCACCTCCTGTTCTAGTGTGACTTCATAGTCAAACAGGAATAAATGAAGCTGTAAAATCAGCAGTAAGACCTGTAATAAGGAGCAGAGAAGATTTATAATCTCTTTAAACATGTAGGCTTTTTTGTGAAAGCAGCAGATACTGAGTTCTCTGCTAAATCTTGCACTAAAACAAGCTCTTCAAATGTACTGCTTTACCAGGATGTGTGATTTCCCAGATGAAGGCTAAGGCATACAGTGTACGAACAGCCTCACTGGAAGTTTCCTTAATTTTTATTAATTTATGCTTTAATAAAAAGCAGGACAATTTTGAGAGTTCTCTCTTACATTCTTGGTCCAACATGCAGCTGTTAAATAATCTTTTTTTCTTTTGGAAGTTAAAGGCTGCACAGAAAACTCCATTTTGATGAGTTCTGTCCATGTTAGATTTCACGTTCAGCAATTATTATCTCCTCTTCTGATTTAAACCAATTTTCTTTCAGATCACTAAATCATAAATCCAAATAACTGAACTCACCCTCCATCTGAAACTTCATTTTGTAAGACAGACATGCTCTAGTTACATCTTTGGTAAAATGAGATTCTGCTAATAGCTCAATCAATTATCCCCTTATTTTTATCCTTTCTCTGCCAAGATTGTCAGATCTCTAGGTTTTTCTTTTTGCTAAGCTTTTGATGTATTTTGTTTCTTTGTTTTTCAGATATTGTGGGCATTTTCAGATCTCCTGAACTGCACAGAAGAAGCTCAGCCCTCCTAAGATCATGCCACAGAAATTATTGGTGCACAACTTCATTTTCCATGTGCCCACAATATTTCCTGCGACCTCCAGGGCTGGACATCAGTTTACCAGCTATGATATGGTCAAGCTTGGGATCAAACATCTCTTCTCAAAGTAGAACCATTTTTCTCACTGTTGCATGTAAATGAACTTACACAAAAAAGAGTGAAGGCACGCATCAAGAGATGCTTTACGGAGTGGACTCACAGATGGCAGCTGACAAATAAGCAAAAACAAGTACAAAACAGCAGAACAAATCCTTGAGACACCTGTTACGCAGTTCTTGTATTTACTCTCTTTGAAAAGACTTTCATGTTTACAAACATATCTAACCAGTACACAAGTCAAGGCAGGTACCAAAATATATTGGTAGGTGTTTTACTGTAATGTCAGGTATGGCACATTTAAGTACAATGCAACTTCCCTACAAACAAATCGTCTTCTTCAACTCAAACATCTAAGATGAGTTCAGGGGCCCTGTGGCTTATTATGCTAAAGCTTACTGTATGCTATGTTCCTTTAATTTATTTTGTTTGGCTGATTTACAGGCCTTTAATTTAAAATATGCATTAGGAGGCACCTATCCTCTTCAGACACATACAGGCTTGGCACTAATACAGCCGCTGAGTGCTGACCTGCTACACCTCCATGCTTGGTTCCTGTCTGATCAGCTCAGTATTCCCAACTGAAATTTCTAATGAAAGAAGTGACCATAACTGTACCTCTTCCTTCCCTGTTTTATACTGCTCTCGTGTGTTTGGCTTACCACTTAGGCCCACAGTGTGTTTGGCTAGCCTAACTGCTGTCACCACCAGTAGGTCTGGATAACATACAAGTGGTGTATGCTTCTGTGCATCTTGTAACACCGCAGTCTAACACACCAGGCTGTAGACCTGCAAATTTTACCATTTTGTCTGCCAAATTACCTCCAAAATTGTGTCTGAATCTTCCCTTCTTTTTCACAGCATACACGGCTCTTAAGTCTTTCCTCTGCCAGAAATTTTCAGTCAAATCTAAAGGTTTCTTTTTTCAATTTTTCTACATTTTTTTTTTTTCTTGTGTAAGACGCATTTCTATCACAAAAGCCAAGTGCAGATTTGGAGGCTTTATGAATGGGCCTAATATATAGACACATAATTTGCAAGTTGGCCATCAGCTTCATTTATATACAAGGAAACTTGTAGACAGTGAAATGCTTTGGCTCCTGAAGAATCGTCCTTCAGTCCCTGAGATAAAATCTGCCCCTGCCATTCCATAATCCAATCATTTATCAACAGATTCAGATTAGCATTTTCTATTTCCTTTCCTTTATATTCCAGTCAGCTGTACAGCTCTTCCCCTGAGAAACGCCAAATTATCTCCACTTAGCTGATAACTTTGGTTGATATCATTGCCAATACTGAAGGAAAAAAAATAATAATTTGAGAACTGAATTATTAACTGAAATCCAATAATTCACATAAAGCTGAGAAAAACAACAACTTGATCTATTATTACACAGTTTAGCTATGATAAAAACAGCAGCGCTACAGAGCGGCATTCAGATACAAGGCAATCATTTTCCATTCCCTCATTTTATGCTAGTATCAATACAAAGTCATCTGCTGATAGAGAAACAAAGTGGTATCGTTACCAGAGCAGACAAAGTCCTTTTTCTGCACCTCGGCCACAAGGAAGCCCCGCAGGCTGACCGGCGCCAGGCAGAAGGTGAACTGCCCGATGGTGCGTCGCTGCCGCAGCCAGTCGGACAGCCAGGCCAGGTGGCAGTCGCAGTGCAGGAAGTTGGAATGCAGCCGCCTACAACACAGGGAAGCGCCCAGAGTTACCAGCGGTGTTATAACAGAAGGCACAAAGCACAGCAAACAAGTACGAGGCTGCCTGCCTCTTCTCTGCAGTGTAACAGGCATCAGTGAAGGTTACTGGCTCCAGCTCAGCCAGGTCTCAGCTGTCTACTCTGCCATAACACACACAGAAACATCTACATAAAAATTCAACTGTTTTTCATAGCTGTGTAATCACAACCACTCTGGAGAAAAGAAGATACTGAACTTTAGAGGCCTCCAAGTAATCATTTTGCCTATGACTTCCTTTCAGAAGTAACTGCATGAATGACATGGAACTGAGTGAATTTAAAGAATGCCTTTTACAAACGAGAGGACCAGGCTGAAAAAACTGATGATAGGTAATTCTTCCCTCCTCTCTCCTTTTTAAATAAATGAGAAATAGTAATTAAACAAAACCAAATCAAAGATCTGCAGAGGCTATTGATCCCTTTCCTGTTCCCGTGTTGCCTGTATGACTTCACCAATGGTGAACTTTTACTCTGGCAATTTAAGACAAGTATTTAGATTCCAGACAGGGCTCGTGATGAAGAAGGGCCCTTGGCCATGCTCCCTTCCGCACACCTCGTGCGTGGCACTGCACACTTCCAGAAGCATGACCACACTGGGAAAAAATAAGTCTGCCACATTATGATGCGTTCAGAGAGTGAATTTATAAATATCTTAATAGCTACCAAAGTTCAGATCAAAACTAAGGCCCAAGATGTTAATTATTTCATCCTTTGTAATGACTCATATATTTGCAGTATTATAGCAAAGCTGAAACGATAAAACAGATCTGTCAGAAATGGTTAGACAAAGCATTATTCACTGATATCACAGGCATTACACACAAAAAAAGACAACCCCAATTGGTGTTGCTGGATTTAGCCTTGTCTATCCAGCAGAGAAGGTGTCTGTCTGTCTGTGAGCCCTTCCTGCTGCCAGCTCTGATGTGGGTCCCAGTCTGCATGCTGGGGTGGGCACTCACAACTGGAGGGTGCAGACCTGGGACTGAGTTTGCTCTGTGGAGATGGAAAGCACCTCCTGGGAGAGCTGTGAAGTGTAGTTGTTTTAGAAGGATGGCTACAAAACATTGGGTTTTTTAGAGATCGTGAAGCTATTTAACAACACTGCAGTAAGTTAGATTTCTAATAAAAGGTATTGTTATTAATCTGTCTGGAACACTTTGTATCGTTTGAAAGCAAACAAATACATTTACAAAGAAAGGGAAGCAAATAACATCTAGTCAGAAATTATCCTACATACAGCAATGTTGCTCTAACTGCTAAAGAAAGCAATGCATTTACATGCTCAGAGTGTTGTCCCTTCCCATGGCCATGGCAGTCAGCTGTGATGGTGTTGAATGACCCTCCTTCAGGAGGTGGAGTCTGGCCCATTCCCTGCATCCTGGATATGACAGGCAGGAGGGAATATTACATTTGCTTTTCACAAAAGGGGCATCTTCCCAAATCAGTGAGCTGGTAAGGTTTGTTCTATTTTTCCTCTCGTTAAATGTGTATAATTAGTTTTTGGGTTCCCAATGTTAGTGGTGTGAACTGTCACCCTCTCAGCAGCTTCTCTGGGAGGGCATCAGCAGAGGGAATATGTTTTTTGATAATTAATAGTTAAAATATCAATAATTAATTAAGTATTAATAGCCACAAGTAGTTTGATACACTGATTCTCTGCAAGCATGAAAAGCAATGAAGCGATTCAGGACAATTTCAGTTTATTCTTTAATAAAGATAATGAAAAAATAAATAAATTACACGATTCCCTACCTCAGCAGTCAAAGTGCAGAGATAATGGGATATTTACCATTAAGCAAATAAGTATGAGGGACATGCTTTAATATAGCTGTTTCAAGCAAAGGAAAGCAGATCAATAAAAACTAATTCCTGTCACTTCCAATCAAGGTTAAAAGATCAATGAAACTTAGCAGAAGGAAAGACAAGACAATGAAAAAGGTTGCACAGGAGAGTTGATTCTCTTGAAGAATTCTTCAAGTGCTTCAAACCTTACTAGTTTTTTATTATTATTCCTTTTTCTCCTAGGAGTTCACGTTCAAGTTGCATACGCTCTCTATTTTTTCTGCTCTGCTCTTAAATGAGCAGATTGTTTTGAGTGCTATGACAAAAAAGCTGTCTGTCCACAAAACCACCACAGCAAAAGCAGCTGTGGCACAGGCAGCCCCAAACATCCTTTAATGGATCCCATAACACGTAAAAGGAGATATAGAGGGAAAACACCATCTGCACCATGCTGGGCCTTAGCTAGAGAGGGCTTGTCCCTGCTTGAGGGACACTCAGACTAGGGCTCCCTATAAGATCTTCTAAAACTATGTCTAAATGTAAAGCTTTCTGAGAAGGCAGAAAAGTGGATGATCATTTAAGGAAAGCGTAGAGCTGTAATGATCCATTTGACCTGAATTTGCATCCACAACCAAGAGATTAAGCAGTGGATGTTGTTCAGCCGTTGTGCTTCAGATAGGTATTTCATTTCATGGAAACTGTTCCTTGAGGCTGTGTATTAATGTGGGAGAAACAAGTTACTAAGTGAAATAAGGCCCAAGGAAGTGAGAAAATACTACAGTTCTCACTTCCCCTCCCCCAAAAATCTTCATATGAATATTTTTCATTGGTGAACCAAAACTGATCAGTTTTATGCCTGCTCAGATCCACATTAGCTTTGTTAATATCCATTTGAACACAACTTGGTTAAATCTAAACAGTATTAGCCTAAAATCTGAACAGAAGATGTTCAGAAAGTATTACATAGCTATGCAAACTTGCTTTGTCAATGATTAATCAAATATTATTTGTGAGAAGTGATGATTCAGAGACAGAGAAAAAATTTAAATAGGAGGAAGCAGAAGAAATTAGGAAGTACTATTTGACTCCTTTGCTTGTATTACATTAATTGCTACTTTGATGACTTTTCTCTGACTCTGCTGAGACGGAAGGAAATACAGAAAATTAAAGTATTTTATTGTATTTCCACCTACCTATGCTGGTTTTTTAATCCCTACACTGTACTCCTGGAAAGGACACTGCGTGTTTTTTGGCAGTTCTTCGGAGAGTAAAACATGCCACTCAATATTGATGGAACTACCTTCACAGAACATAAGGTGAATGAATACAAATGCAAGTTTGTAAAGGTGCCCTTTTAGCCACAGACCTCAAATTAAATTTCCAGAAAATCCTTTTAGAGCGGGTCAGCATTCATGTTCTATAAAATGTGGCTCTCAGAATTCAATATAAAAGCTTCCCTTTATAAATCCTATTTATGACTTCCTTCCTTTTTTTTTTTTTTCTCTATTTTTTTTTTTTCTTCTTCCCTTAATTACAGCAGTGAAGGATTAGTCAGTGTAAGCCTCCAGGGAGCTATATACAAAGCCATCTCCGAAATTAAACTAAAAGGAAAATGGCAGAACACATTGAGCTCTGGTAACAGACAAGACTGATTGATCTGAAGAAGCCAAGCAAATTTGCTGGACCACCGTGGTTGAAGGAGAACAGGCAAAAGCACAAGAACCTTAACCCTACCTTTATCTGCTTTATCCACTCTCTTCTAAAATAAAAAAAAATGTAGTTCTCATTTAAATACTTACATTAATTTCTGTGAAAGTAAATGTAAATGAAGCTATCCTTCACAGAGTGACACGACTGAGAGGCATTTCCTTCAATTCAGTTAATTTTCCTCTCATGACTTTACATAAACATACATGGTACCCCTGCCCCATTTTATTTTTTAGCTGCATGAAAATAATTCAGGCTAGTTATTATTACCTTTTCTTTACTTTTAAGAGTAAATGCATCTTGTTTGGTTTCAGATTTTGGAAGTCAAAAAAAATGACTTCCTTTAAGCTTTTATTCTGAAGCTGTGTGTTTCCTAAAGGAATAGTTTATCTCAAGAAAATGCTATGGCTAAATTCCAGAAATGCACAGAGTCTGATTTTATAGTCTTTCTATTTTCTTCCAGTTAATCCAATCAGAGCTTTTCCAACGGAATGAAGATCATCTGTAGAAAAATTGATTTTCTGGCCAGGCTGCATGGGGCCACATTGCAGGTTGAGGCCTGGCCCTGGCCCTCACATGATGACAAATATTCCAAGTGCTGGCTTAGCCCATTATTATTATACTCAAAGATATTACTCACAGAGTCCTGATCTTTGGCATGTGATTGAAACTGGTAACAGGAATGCGAGTGATGTTGTTGTTGTTGAGAGTACTGTTGGGGAAAAAAAAAGAAAATACAATTGAATCACAGATTGATCAGTTATTTACATCTCTGCACCAACACGCTATTCACAGGAACAAGCTGCTTCAACTCATACAACAAATCTGCTGGGCACCAGCAGTAAGCAGTGATGACCAGAGCCTCAGACAATTTGTGACATGTCAAGAAAGATATTTTTAGAGCAAATAACAACTATAAAAATGGATGAGGGTTACCATTTACCACATCCAAGCACTAGGAAGTACAGGAAATGAGTTTCTACCTACTCTGAAAACAGACCCAGACTTTTTAAGCTGCTACCGTGCTGGAAAATCTGGGGCTAGCTGATTGGAGACACGTCAAATTTGTGTGCCACAAAATGAAAGCTTTGGACTTGAAGTGCTCTTACTCAAAATGAGAGCTGCTGCCTTGCACAGCTTGTTAATGTAGCTGGCTCACCCAGCCAGACAGCTCAAATGGACTTTCTGAAAACACACGGGCGGATGGGTACATCTCTTTGGTTTCCTTATGAAAAAAATATGTGGGAAGCAGGAGGGACTGTAATAAAGCATGCCGTGACCCAGGCGTGTAAGGATTTCTGCTCCTCTATCAAGGCAGAGCTTACAGAGAAAGAGCTAGAAGAGAAAATGATCTCAAGCTGCTGGTAGGGACCCCCTTAATGCTTCTTATGAAAAATGAACTGACTACATTATCATCAGCTGTGTGTGCTGCTCCCATTTACATAGCTCCTAATTATATCAATGACTCTTTAGCAAATTAGAAGCTATAAAGTTGATCAAGATGGCACAGGAAATGGAAAGCACTCCAACAAGGCATAATTGCCATGCTCGGGGCTTCAAATGTGCAAACACAGAGTCCCTCTGCCATGAGAGATGTCAGCAGGCCCCATCCCCTGTGCTGCTGCAGCTGCCCAGATGAACGCGTGTCCCCAACCGTGCGGCGGCACGCAGCCGGCCCTGCCCTGTGGGAACGGCCCAGTGCTCTGCAGCACCTCTGGGCTTGGAGGCAGTGCTTGGTCTGTCTGTGCATGAGGTGAAGGAAGACCTGCTGAAGCACCATGCCGCCTACCCTTCCCTGAACTGTTCTGCTGTTCTGACAATATGCATTTACTCAGTTTAGCCAAAAGCTCTTGAAAAGGTTTTCAGAACTCAGCTAGACTTCTTGGTCATGTGCCAAGCTAAAAACATTTCACAATTCTGCCCAGAAATCCCTTGGCAAAACCGGCATCTACAACATTAGCAGATTAAAGTTAAATTAGATTATATCACACTACCTTCGCTATTACTTGATTACTTAGTTTGGCTAATGATGCAGGATGAATGCTTTTTGTGGACAGTCAGCCAAAACAAGCACGTACAACAGAACTTCTGCACATGAACAAGGGTACATTCATGTGTACAGCACACCCAACCCCCAACATATTTATTTGCCATTTGTATCACATCCATGTCTGAAAGTTCAAATGGGACTCACAAATGGAATTATTAATTGAACCAGTATTTTCTGCAAACATAAACGTGTAATTCACCCCCTGCCTCAGCTGCCTGATATATAAAATTGAGCTATGCACTTGGTCAGAAAATTTCAGGTATGCACCGACAAACAACAGCAGTGTGTAAAGTCGGCTTACAAAAATTAAATCACACACACATAGCTGATGTTCCAGTAGGTCACATGTGGCACTACAGGATTCATGGAAGCCATAGGAATTCAAAGACTTCGCAGTGATTTCAGGATGCAGGCTGGATTCAGGCAGAACACGATGTGGCAGGGAGCTCTGCCCTGCCAAGGGCACAGAACATATCCCTGTCTCCCAGCTCAATTCTTTATCCGTGTGTGAAAAGGTCAGCGCCTTTACCATGGTATGATGATTCAGAAATATTTTTAAATTTCTTAAAATATTTCTGCTTAATAGACAAAGCATTATTTTAATCACATACAGCATTTCTGCTTGCAAAATATTAGATGAAGGAGGCTTAGTCTTTGCCCCCAGCATGCAAAGGGATCCCATAATTCATCAACAAATACATAACCCTCCTTCTAAGAATCCTATGTCCATGCTGAATTTATATACTCCTTTAACAAAAATTTCAAGGATAAATCTAACAGATAACTACTGCACAGATGACTTATTAATATATTATTTCATTGATATTTTAATGTTAAATATAATGAAGGCAATAAAGCACCAATGATAACAGCAATTACTTCAGGACAAAAAGGCCAAACGCTGCAAAGGGCACTAATTGACAGTGAACTGCCGGCACTGCAGCTGAGCTGCAGCTGAAGGAATGTAACGTGCTGCTGGTTGCACAGCAGGCACTGCCCCAGCACAGGAAGAACTCTTTGGCTTCTGAACAGGGACATATCAGGGAGAGGAGTGCTCCAGAGGCATTTTGCAAAGCTTTCTGTCATGCACATGAAGCCTTCCCAGTAACGATTTTAATTGCATCCTGATGGGAAAGCACACACTAGAGCAGCATGTTTAATGTGAAAGGAAAAATAAATTCTGTTCTACTCATTTGCTAGCAGCTTCAGGGCCCCGCTCTCATTTCTATGCCACTAAGATTCAATTCTATCAGAAAAGATGCACAAACATCAGGAAGCTATATGAAAAAGAAAACTACCAGAATCTCTCGAGTCCTTCAGTGTTGTTTGGGGAATCATAGAATTATAGAATCATAGAATGGCCTGGGTTGAAAAGGACCTCAAAGATCATCTAGTTTCAACCCCCTGCTGTGTGCAGGGTCACCAACCAGCAGACCAGGCTGCCCAGAGCCACATCCAGCCTGGCCTTGAATGCGTCCAGGGATGGGGCATCCACAGCCTCCTTGGGCAACCTGTTCCAGTGCTTCATCACCCTTTGAGTGAAAAACTTCCTCCTAAACTTCCTCCGAAACTTGGATGCTGCTGGGTTCTCCCCAGCCTCGTGCCTTCCTCCTCTTCCACAGCCCAAATACTCTTGTCCCTTGTACTGTCCTGTTATTTGGAAGTCCTCTCCCTGTAAACTATTTGCATCCAAAATGCTGAATCAGGAAACTGAGGTTATATAAAATATTATTTATGCCAGCAAACTTCCCACCTTGAGCCGTGATCCTTGTCAGATCATGCCAGCTAAGCAGAAGCAGACTGCAGCAGTCCTAAGGGTCCTCCAAGGACTACTTGGAAGACGCATAACATGAGATCAGCAGCCTCTGAGGTGGTACATCCTCCAGCAATACATACTGTCATAGTCCCACTGATTTCAATTTACAACCCCAGAGGAGCTCCTTTCCTAACTCACTTCTCTGCCAGTAGCCCAAACTGGATAGAAGCACGCACAGTGCTGCGTTCTTCCGTCTGAAGAACAAAGCTGATTTATAGCCCTGACTAATCTGGTTTTTGTAAAGGAAAGAATGTTCAGTTTTCAATTCCACCATGACTTGATAACAATTACCTGTCTCCTTTCACAAACTCCTTGTTCAAATTTAACAGCATGCAGCTGCAGTTCTGTTGTCTTCTGCCTTGCTCCAAATTCACATGCACCACTGCAGTTCACTGACAAAGAGTCATTAATTCTACACTAAGTGTAATTAAATCAAAATCATCAACTCACAGAAATGTCTCTCATGTGTGGATTGCTGCTTTTGTTTGTTTTTAAATAACATTGGTACACTGTCCCTGTTCACTGCAGGGGAGTTGGACTAGATGACCTTTAAAGGTCCCTTCTAACTCTAGGGATTCTATGGTCCTATGATGAGTTTTTACTCCTCTCTCCACTCTTGAATAGGAATACAGGTGTTCTAAATAAGAGAAAAAAAGAAGATAGTTTGGGGAGGAAAAAAAAAAAAGAAAGAAAAAGAAAGGATTTACATTTTGAATCCCACTAATTATACAAGTATCTTATTTAAACTCCTCAGGAACTGCAAGCATCCCTTAGAGTAATTCAGAGAGAAATCCCCGGCTGTCAGACCAACAGTTACACATGCTCAGTTCTTTAAATTACAGAGTACACAGAGATTTTGTTTCTCTTACTTGAAATTCAATTAGTGATATAATTAAGAGCATATAATGAATATCAGAATGACTGCTGACTTATTCATCTGGAATAATAATACTTTCATTACAGTACATCTCCCACTCTGTTCCAGTTAAATACTAGAGAATCATCTTCTGGCAATGATGTCAGAAAAATGTTAGATAACATAACAGAATTATCTGAAATGTTAACTATTTCATTTCTTCAATTAGTACTTCAGTAAGTAGAATGCACATTAACATTCTCCAGTCACATTTCAAGTGGAAAACGTGTAGAAGAGTTGGTTTCTTTTTTCAAGCACATAACACTGATGACAGTAACAGTACCTGATGCATTGATGCATCTCAACCTAAAAAAGCTACGTTGTCCTATTTTGTCACTTACGAAAGGTAAAAATCGTTATACAAATATCAGTTTCCCTAAGCCCAAGGCATACTTGTGAGCATCGGTACAACACCTACAGTGATGCTTCCTGTTTGCAGTCTGAATTCAAACTAAAGGGATGGGGCAAACCTGTCATATTAGGTCAGAACTGAAGACATCCTGTGGTTTTTGACTCCAACAGAGACTGATTTGCTCTCATATTCCATTTTGGCAGCTGATTAGCACAAGCAGCTAATCAAATTGAGAAATTATATGGTAGATTAAATTTCTGATTAACACTTTTGTCCATGCCTTAACAAGCACCTTCCACAGTTACCAGAGGTTGTTGTGCTGGCCATTCAGGTTTTTGATACACACCAGGATTCTGCTGGATCACAGTTTGCAGCATTTCCAAAATTCTCAGCCAGCAAGAAATAATCAGGCCCACAGATGCTCATATCCAGCAGAGAAAGAAAATGCAAAGTTACTCAAACCAATATGCATACAATCACATCTAGCACTGTGCTATACACTGCCAAGTAATGTGATAGGTAAAAGGAAAAAGATCTGAGAAGGAGCCAGATTGTTTACTGTGTTTTTGTTTTCCAAC